AGTCATGCTTCACGCCTTTATTACACTGTAATATTTGTTACACATGAACACAACCAGACAAAAACCCTCTTAGTTGTGCCTTTTTTTGTGCCAAGAATACCTTACCTGTACGACTTTAACCTGTTAACATTTATCATGTCAGACATTTATCATGTCAGACCTGTTCCTATTCACGGCAGTTCTCCCTCTCTCTCTCCCTCTCTCACACTCTCTCTCTCTCTATTTCTCAGACACACACTCGCACACACGCAAACACACACACACACACATCTGGCCATCTGCCAGCCTCTGCAATGGAGCAATGCGGTGTGAATTTAAGAACATAAATCAGCCAGGGTGGCAATTGAGCCCGAGACAGAGAAGGTTTTTTATTGGCCTCATAAAAACAGATGCAGAGGTATGTTTCTCTCACGTGTACTGATGCATCCACTCAACAACTACTTCCAGAAACCACACACACACACACACACACACACACACACTCACCCATCGTCTCCAAAAGCCAGTTAGTGCACGTCTCGACCTTAACAATTAGCTCGACATGATAGTAACCCTCCCTTTAAACTTGTTGGGTGTCATCATCAAGACCTGCAGGGGACGACGCTGCAGAAATACTTAGACATTCCACTTTCAACCACAGATTTAGCCTCGTGTGATCTGCGTTTACACATAAAAAGAGAAATAATTGGATCTGTATCCATGCTTTTTGATCATGGGACTCTCTCCTGAGTTTACTGGCTGTTGGTGTTATTAAGGCTTTATTTGCATACTACACGCTCACACACACACACACACACACACACACACTCTCTCTCTCTCCTACCCATCATCCCTGTCGATGGCTCCTTTCAAAAGTGGCTGGTATGGAGTGATTCATATGCTAATGGCTTTCGGCTAATGCTTTTATTAGGGCACTTGTTACCTCGTCAAAAGATTTTTGTCAAGATGCAACAAGACGCTCAATGACGATGATTTGATTTCATTTCACTGGCATTTATTTTTTAATCACTGCCTTGACATGAGGAAAAATAACATTTCACATAGGACTCCTCGAGTATTTTTTTTTCTTCTTGAGAAAAACAGCCATAGTGTGTGTGTGTGTGTGTGTGGGGGGAGGGGGGGTATATTCCGACATGAATGTTCCTTGTCCCTTTAACTGAATCATTTTTTCCCAGTGGAAAACTTGGGAACATTTTCAGTACAAATCTAGTGAACATAGTACTATGCCTGAGCAGTTTATGGGTCAACCTCAAACTTAGGATTTTCCCGTGTCTTCATGAAATTTGCTGCCGTATACTTAATAGTGTGAGGACTATGCCCAGCGTTTTCATTTTTGGTTTCTGATTCAGAATTGTTTAGTAATGCAGATACATTTGCTATTGATTCCTGTCAAGATTTTGCCCTTAAAGTTTCCTTGAACAGCTACTGAATATTTTGTGAGGTCATGAAATGACACACCTCTTTTATTTTTTTCACAATAAGAATAATAACAAGTATTTTCTTTTTGTGTTTTTCCATGACATCACAGCCCAGGAGGGAGGACTGTAACAGTGTCAGGCCCGAGGACTGGAATCCCCGGATCCCTGTGGGCATTTCACCTGTGAGCAAACACCTCCACTGTCTTCACCGCTGCACCACCATGACCCCCTGTCCGCCTCCCTGAACTCCTACTCTTTTTAGACCAGTGGCTGTTGGAGCCTTTTTCACACAGAGACCCACTTTCTAAAACTGACAAACTACCATGACCCAGTTCAGAGTATTCTAGATGAGCTTAGGAGCAAGTACAGTGCATAATTTAGCATTTCTTTAACAAGTTTTAATATTTGGAAATCATCAACAGATGTTTCCAAGACATGTTTTGGGAATTATTCAATGTTTTATTTTTTTAATTAATGTTATTAAAACATATCTCCATAAATATTAGTTACATAAGTTACATCACATTAGTTACATTACATAATCTATGAATACAGCAATAGTCCATTTACATTCAGGAGTATCATTAAGTTAATAGTTACCTTTATTTTTTGTGTTTCAGTAGCAGGAAAAGAGCATTATATTCAAACCAAAGTGCACTCCTAATATTTGCATTTGGATCGGTTCATGTTTGTGGAAATAATTATTTCCTGCGATTCCAAGTGTCAAGGCTCGTCAACGCACAATTTAAAGCCCACACAAAGTTTAAGCTAATTATATCTTTTTTTTTCTTAACAGATTAATAACTACATTTTCCCCACTTTTTTAAACTGTGTTTGTGTTTAGGTCTTGTCCGTGTCAAAAAGTCATGATAAACATAGATAATCTGTTGCTCAGTTACTCAGCACGTGCTGAAACGTGGTATGTAGTCACACACGAGCTTTATAATTAAAAAACATAGAAGAAAAGATCAGTGGCTAAGAACAGAGGAAGAAATTCATTATTATCTACATATTTAACTGGGGTTATTTTTGTCCCAGTGAACTTTCATTCAGGACATTTTCTGATCATTTTGAATCACATCACGCTATTTTTGGACTTCATTTAAATCGTACTCCTTTTTTATCAGTTATTATTGATGCTTAACATGTTATTACTGCTAACGTTTTTGCACATTTTTGATTATTGATGTTTCTACCTTTATGGATAGTGTATATTACAGCTAACCTATCAACAAGCTTTACAAATGACTCACCTTTTATTGTGAACTAAAAGCTTTACAAATGACTCACCTTTTATTTTCAACGTAGTGAACTACGCAAACAATTTCAACCAAAATTGTCATTTACAAACTTAATTTGTCTCATTTGTCTCACCCGGATTTTCCTCTCAGGTGAAACCATCGCCTCTGCCAAGCGAGTGGAACGGGAAGACGGAGAGCTGCATCCTCAACATCAACTCCACCATCTACGATGAGATCCAGCAGGAGATGAAAAGGGCCAAAGTCTCCCAGGCTCTGTTCGCTAAAGTGGCTGCTTCCAAGAGCCAGGTACTGGAATGTGTGATAACACAACAAAATTAACATTTAAATACATTTCCGTTATTTTTGTATTCAGTTCATTCACCAACAAAAGCCAAACCTAATAAAAACATGGTTTTCATAGTTCATAGTTGCCAGTAGGCTTGCTATCAGAAGTAAAAGCAAATGTTTACAAGACAGTAGTGAGATATGCTATGATGTCATGTGTTTTTGGGAGACTGCAGGTTGATCTCCAGGGTGAGAAATGTCCAGCTAGGCTTCCATAACACAACTTCATGTGGTCCAACCCTGGACAGTTCAACCTTCACACATACTATAGGTTGCTCACATACAGTACTGTACAGGCTGTACATTCATCCTGTCTAACTTACGTTGGTGACGTGGGACACATGGTGGCAGATGTGGTTAGCATGGTTCACTGGTTCGATCCCCAGTCTTTTTATGTAGTATTCTATGGTAGTATTTGGTTATTCTCTCCGTATGTGTATAGGAGGTTGAGAATGGGGGAGAGACACTGGTTTCCACCCACAGTCCCTCACCTGTTGGATTAAGCAGCATCTTAGTTTAGTAATGTTTTAAGTAAAATGGTTATTTAAGCATTAGTAAGCTTTGCCCTCATTTTATTTTGATTTATTTTCCGGAGCTTTGGGAGGCTGGGGGACTCAGTCCAGCTCGTATGTATGATCCATGAGCCGAGATGATGACAAAGTTTACTTCAAAAATCAGTCTAAATAGGTGGGAATCCTACTTCTGAGCATCGCTGCACTCACATTATGTCTTACGGACACACGTCCCTGGTATTATGGGTTTGGAGTTTTTTGGTTTTTTTTCAACCAGTCGACGCTGTTTCAACACCAAACAAAGGTGTTTGTATGAGCTCAGTAATACTATGATGAAGAAGAAGGTCCCTGTTATCTGCTCTTATAGAGCCGCCGAATCACACAATACCTTCCTCTGTGTGTGTGTGTGTGTGTGTGTGTGTGTGTGTGTGTGTGGGCATTTTGGTGGGGACACAGTTGAAGTCTTTATTAAAAGCAATTTAAACCTGAATCAGCGCAGGAGCTGTTATTAAAGGTTTTCTTCTGTCTTTTGGAGACAGCCTTTTTTTCGTCAATTGTTCTTGATGAAGAAGAAGAAGAAGAGGATAAAGCTCAGCCAAGCCAGAATAATCTGGGAAATATCTGCGAAGGCTTTATTTTTTTCTTGCTGATTAGGATGATTACAGACCCAGATTGCTTTGTTTTAAGCAAATTGCAGTTTGATGCACAAACCACTGTTTTTGTGGAGAAGTTCAAAGACTTTTTTTTAAAGGACGGGGAATGAGAAAAGAGCGAGATGGAGTAGGTAAAAGCATGAGCATTAATTGTAAAAAGATTCGTCTCAGTACGTTTCCACTGTTAACTGTTTCTCACTCCTGTGTTTCTGTATCTCTCTCTACCTTTTTTTCCCCCTCACTTTCTGCCTCCCTTTTTCTAACGTTTCCATTCACGGCAGACGTGTGTGAATGGAAATCGAGCAGCAGATAAGAATTGTGCTAATTATGCCGGTGAAAGGAGGCCTGGGAGAGCACTTATCTCTGGCTCCATCTCGTAATGGGCGCTCCCCGGGCAGCTGGTCCCCTTCACGCACCCCTCCCCGTACTTTACCACCCAGCCCTCATCATCTAGTGCTGCCAGTCCAGAGGCTGTAGCTCGTCCTGCTCCCTGTCACCATCTCTGAACCTCGCATGCCATTCAATTCAATCTACAGCTACTTTAGACAGTAAATCAACAAAAGAAGTTTGACAGAAGAACTACATTTTGGAGTTTTTTATTTAGAGAAAGTTTTTGTAACTGTTAATTACGTCCGAACATTTTAAATATTGTTTAACATAAGGTATTTATTTTATACATACTTAGGTCGAACATTTTAAATATTGTTTAACATAATGTATTTATTTTATACATACAAGTATTCCATACCATACTTTTTATGTTGCATTTATAATAGAAAATAATCAACCTTAGCATTTTTATAAATCTTTAGACCATTGATATTAAATGTAAATTAGATGTTAACCCATCTTATTTACAATCTTGTCACATTCAACATTTGTCAGTCCTACAATATTTTGTGTATTAAAATTCCATGTTTTTTTTCTAAGCATTTCAATTAATTTTCTTATTAAATTAATGCATTGGCATTTTTATCAATTTTTTTTTCAGTTTTTCCCTTATTTGCATATTTCCTAACTATTTTAGTGACTTTGGTCAATTGAAACCTTCAGAAAATATTTGTTAATTTTTATAAATAACTTGTCAGTTTTATTCTTAAAATTCCCCAAATTCAACAGCACAGACAGACAGATGAGAGAGAAAGGAAAACCTATACATTTTTATTTTGAGAGATGTTAATATTATATATCGTTCACAGCTGAAAAAATAATATCAGTATATAGAAACTAGATTTTCTTTGAAGCCAGTAATCTGATATTTGAGGCCCAGAGAGCAAAGAGAAAAGGAAATAGTCGCCATTATTCCCCACAGAAAGGGTTGGTGCTCTGGAGCTGCTGCAGCAGCAACAGTGACTGTGGTTCGTGTGGAGGAGAAGGAGAATGGAGGATGGGCAGGACTGGCAGGATGCCCAAATGGGGTCCAGGAAAATAATCACTGGGCGAGGAGGAGGAGCGAGAGGAGACCTCTTATCACATATGCTGCTGTCATACATGGGCTCAACCTCAGCCTCTTTGACTCCGAGTCAGGATTTCTCAGCGTTATAAATGCAAGCACGCGGAAATGTGACCACACGTTCACTATCCTGGTTCGTAGTTTGTGTTTGTTCATTCTGTCGTGGTACTCTGGGTGTCTGGTGCTGGCGTTAAGCAGGTGCAGGGACGATGTAGGAAGGAAAGACAAAACTGAGAATAAAAGAGGTCTCAGGAGTTGAAGGAGGTCAGCGGCAGCCGGAGATGATTTTGAGAAATAAAAGCAGGAAACAGGATTGTGATTTGCTCAGGTGGTTGTGTTTGTCAGAGCATCAAATATCGGTTATTGCATGTCTTCAGTGGTGGCTGCGTGCGTTTTTCGGGTGGGTTGGTTCCTGGACCTCCGCCATCCCGTCCTCTCCCAGGACTCGTAACCACAGTGGGCCTCTGCCAGCCTTTTACTGCTCCTCATCCCCCGCCTCTTCTTCCTCCTGCTCCTCTCACATATTCAATGTTGCATTTCAATCACACTTTTACTGCCATAGTAGTAACTACAGAGCAGCGACTCTATCCAGAGCTGCATCACTTTGTCAGATTAATGGCCGCTATTCACTCCAAGCCTAAGCATATAATGTAGACTATATTAATATTTTTATAAACAGTACACAGTCCTGATGCTGCAAGGTTTTAGAAGATGCTTGAACTGCAGTTGTCAATGACAAATAGTAATATCGGTAGCTTGTGGACTTTTTGTAATACTGGAAAGAAAAAAAAAAGTGTTTTGATTTTATAAAGATTTGGTGTTAATCCCTCAAATGTTATTAATCTATTAGAGTGGAATAAACAGACAAAACACGAAAAATATTCCAAAAAAGCTTAAATAGAATTAAAGGATGAATAATGTTTATATCCGAAAAATTAAGTTAACTAAGCATTGGTCAAAAATGTTAAAAGAAAGGTAACAACTAGTTAGCCTGGTTGCTAAGCCTGAACCCTTTTAACATGTCCAATACAAACACTATATCATGTTAGGTAGGACAGCAGTGCTTTTTCAGCAACATGTTAGTTCGTTGTGCGATGGGGAACTCGGTGGATCTGCTCAGGGAACAAGGACATATCCTTTGACACAACTTTTGTATCTCAACATCTTTGGACACATCCTGAAAAAAATCAGGCAATGAACTGGAATCAGAGCACCTGCTGTTGTTTAAAAAAAAGCTCACAGGGAGTGTCTTGTAGGCCCAGCATGGGCCCCAAAGCCCTCTGACTCCTCAGTGACCGGCAGAGAATGCGGTCCAGGCCAACGACATCCACCAGGCCCCTCTCTCATTTGCTTATTCTCTTATAGAAGAGGCTGCACTAATTAGCCAGGCTCTAATGAGACAGAATGGCACCGATCTGATCTATCCTGTGCCGATGGAGGGGGTTGTGATCGAAGTTGGGGGTGGTAGCCTGCTGGTGTAGCAGGGGAGAGAGAGAAGAGCAGTAAGCGGTAGTATTGGGGGAGGTTGGTGTATGCCATCTGTCACCCTGCACCCTCCTGGCACAGTAGTCCTCGGAGGAGAGAGGCTGGTTGGGGGTATTGATAGGGCAGTGAGGGTGGGGACGATAAGAACGGGGAAAGGACAAACTGCTTCCCTTTTTACAGATACAGACTTTTATCCTGGTTGAATTTTGAATCAGTTTCATGTCCACAAGCAACTTACAAGGACAGTGATGACTGACCGGAATCGGGTTTGGTAAATGCACGTGGAAAAGCCGCAGTTGCCCTTTAAATTCTCATGGCTGCGGCTGCTGGAGAGAAATTAACGTTTGTTCATTTGTTGTGTTGGGAAAATAAGGAAACTGACAAAAGTATGAGTAAATATTATATTATTATATATATTTTGTTTATATTTAATATGTGGAATTTTTAAGAGGAGCATGTAAAATCAGTATTACTGATAGAAACAGGTGCTGTCATGTTTTCCAAACCTTCTTCAGCCCTTGTATGTAGGCCTGAATCGAACATGTTTAATCCACACCCCCAACCAAAATGAAACATACATGTAACAGTCACTCAACAGGATGACCAGATGGCTGACCTTTAAGGTGTCTGATGGTCGATTGTCACTGTGCTCTGTCTGTCTCTGAGGACACTAAGTGACACCGATGTTGAATAGACAAATTGGTACCATTAAGTTACTCTAATATGTCACAGCCGTGTGATCAGATTAACTTTTGTTGATAATTACATCTTAATTTACCAAAAAAAACCTTAAAGTATCAATGAAGAATGTTTTTTAAAGACATCCAGAGCCTCCTAGTACTTGGAATATTATTGTGG